TATATATATGTATATATATATATATATATATATATATATATATATATATATATATATATATATATATATATATATATATATATATATATCTATATAGCATCGGTATCAGCCTTTTCTCATCCATCGGCATTGGTATCGGCATCGGCCAAAAAAGTGATATCGGTACATCACTAATATATATATATATATATATATATACATAAATATATATATATATACATATATATATATACATATATATATATACATATATATATATAATATATATATATATATATATATATATATATATATATATATATATATATATATATATATGTATATATATATATATGTATATATATATATATGTATATATATATATATTTATGTATATATATATATATATATATTAGTGATGTACCGATATCACTTTTTTGGCCGATGCCGATACCAATGCCGATGGATGAGAAAAGGCTGATACCGATGCTGATACCGATGAATTAACTGATTATTAAAAAGAATTGGACCAGGTCTATTTGCTAAGCTTTAGCCTCTTTCCCATCGTCGTAAAGTTGTATTTCTTATTCTTTTCAACAAATACTATCATGGTTGCTGCTCAAAGGAGCTTTCATCTCTAGTTTTATCAACCAAAACTCATTAACGCTTGACTCATTATTCATCAAAGTCTAATTCTTTTACTGTATCTGTCTCTTTATGCTCCAAAAACTTTTATTTTTCTTGTTTATTTCCCAGCACTTCAACTCTTCAGAACTCTGTCCCATCTTCATGTTTTCCTGACTCATACAACCTTCAACTTTTTAAGTCTTATGTCAACCAATTCCTTGCTCTATAACTCTACTTTTTTTGTCTAGCAACTCCCAACTTGATAGTGGTTGCTTGCAGCCTTGTTTGTAGTAAAAAAGAATTTAAAAAATATAGATAACAATGCTTAAATAGGTTATTTTTATAACTTTTGCCTGTAAACAAAGTCAAAATAAAAATTATGTATATATATATATATATATATATATATATATATATATATTTATACATACAGGCCTCAGCAGAAAGCGAGAGCTAAAGCTCTCACTTCCTGGCGAAACCTGTATATATATATACAGGTTTATTAAATCGCTCCCGTAAACATAAAACAGTTTACGGGAGCAATTTATGGCTCTTGCAAAAGTATAATTTTTCTGACAAAAGTATAATTATCATTTTAACTAAAATAAAAAACAAAGTCATTTTAAAAAAATTAATTATTTAATAACTGCAATGCTTTTTAAAAAACACGGTTGCTGCAAAAAAAAAAAAAGTTAAAACTAAATAAGAACACCGATTTAAATGAGGAGCAGCTCGCACATATTTAAAACATGTAGAAAATAAAAATGATATTTTTCAAAATTATAAAACTATTTTAACAATTTTTAACTTAAGCACAGTCTTCTCCGATTAGCCAGTGCTTTTGCACTTAAGTCTTTTTGCACTCGCCCATGCGCCTGCAAAAACTTCTGCTTTGGCAAGCGCCTAAAAAGGCACTTGCCGAAGCAGAAAAAAATGATTTTTTTAAATCACACAGGTATAACTTAAAAATGACGATCCTGCCAGCGCCTTTTCATGCGCTGGCATTAAATTTCGAATGGAGAAGACTGTAAGCATGAACACAAAAAACTAATTTTTTAAAAAATGATAAAAAGTATTTTATTGATTTCATATACTTTTTTTTTCAGTGATAATAGAGCAGATAGGTAAAAATTATTTTTGTTAATTTTCTGTTATATTAAAGGGCTTGAATTAAGTGATTGCAAATTGCGATATCTGGAAATGCTTCCGGTCTTTAAAATTTTAGCTTTTTAAAAACCGTAAAACTGTTTTGATTACTAAATTCAATAGATATCATTTAATTAAAAATATTTACGTCGATTATGATATTAAATCCTAATGTAAAACCATATTATCACTATTATTTTTATTATTATTAAAGATTATAATTTAAACTTTAATATGCTAATTTATTTTATAAAACATCAGATAAAACTAGAAAAATAAAGCACGATAAAGTACGATATAAATACTAAAAAACATGCGATAATCACAACAATTTAAAGGACTTTAACAGTGATCGAATATTTTAAATAAAAGAAATTGTTAAATAAGATATAAAATACTTTTATATCTTATTTAAATCTCATTCAATATTTTTTTACAAATTTAACGCTTGTAACACTTTAGCTGATACGAAGATAAAATTAAAAGACGGAGGAGTTAATATATAAAAACTAATTTAAACTTTTTAATAGTTACTTTAAAACAAAAAAAAAAAGAAACTATAATAACTTTTTAAAAAAACATACTTTATAATTTTTTTTCTTATTAAATAATTAAATTCTAATTTAAAACATTTAAATTTTTAAATAAATAATTCCATAAACTTTCCCCCTAAATAAAAATCTATTTTATGTTTTATATAATGCGCAAGCAGCATACTCTTAAATTGGTTGCTTTTTTATACAAAGTTTTATACAATGCACAAATAGCTTAAGCATAGTTTTTCATTGGTTGATTTTTAAATTACCACGAAAGTTTTTCGGACCTTTAGTAATAATAATTTTTGTCTTGCAATTTTTTTTTATTTATAATCCTTAAATTACATATTACTAATTATTGTTTAAAAAAAAATATGTAAATTTTGACTGTTATTATTTTTGCAGTTGAAAATTTATTGTTTTGTTTTTTCATTAATTTTGCAATATGATAAACTGACCGTTTCATTAAAACAGTGTTTATGGTTTTTAAAAAAACTAAGAATTTAATGACCACAAATATTTTCGGATATTGCAATTTGCGATCACTTAATTCGAGCCCTGTATTATAGTTATGTTTTATAATTTTTTTTCTTTTTAGCTTGCTATAGGTTAGAACTAAGTATGTATCTTTATTATTAAATTTTAAATTTGATTTTTGAAATGGTTTTATATTAAATAAAAATAATAATTTGATAAATAAAATTTTCATAATAGAACAGAAAAGAAAAATTGGGTTTTATTGTTAAATTGTTGAGTTATTTTGTAGTAAATTTAGCAATTGATTATTGAAATCTGATTTTCAAGAAGTTGTAAAAATTTTTATTTATTTAACAATATAAGAAAATTTAATTTTAATTTTAGGAGTAATGGCATATGGCGTTAACTATGGCTTATGCAGGAAATTAGGTTGTCACGATTACAATGACAAACAAACTGCGATTAGTTACATTGCACTTTAAAACCTCTATTTGTATAATACTTCTATTTACATTTTTATTTGTTGCAGGTATTTATTTATCGCTCAAAAGACTTTTTTATTATATAGAGTTGTTACTTGCTTGGCCTTAGTTAAATCACTCATATTGAGTAACAACTATAAGGTATAATGAGTTTTTTATATAATTTATTACTTTGTTAAATAATAAAATTTTTCCTTACTCAAAAACTTTTTTTATTTTATTTATATTTTAGATTTATAGTTGACTTGAAATGGAAAAAGAAAGACTGTATTTTTGTGTAGTTGGGTTGACTTTTTTATTTTTTGTGAAGCAATATATATTACTCAAAAATAAATTTTTAAGTATATCTATATTGTAAATGTATATAGGAATATGTAGTGTAACTATATTGTTATGCGCTTTATACTTTATCAAAGTTGTGTTGTTATATTTATACTTTATCAAAGTTGTGAATATTTTTTTTTAATTGTTTATACACTAATATATTATTTATTGGTATATTTGAAATTAAAATGAAATGTAAATCACAGAAAATTTTATATTTTTCATGAAAATCAAAGAAAATTTGTCTTTAGATAATATTTTTGATAACAAACAATCTATTTTATATCTAAAGTATTCGCTAGAAATAAACTTTTAAACTTTTATATGAATAGCATATTAACTGAAACATTCCTTTCACTAACGGAAACAACAGCTGTGATGACCAAAACTCCTGTTGCTTAACAGAAAAAATCTATTTTAACATAAATATCTGTTTATTTACAGAAATTTTAATTTAATGCGATGGGTTTTTCCATAAAATAATGGGAGGTTTGGTCATCATAGCTGCCAGAAATTTTCTGTAAAAAACACAATATTTTTTTAACAGTGCTACTTTAATGGTCATTTTTGCAACAAAAAAATATATTGCAACAAAAAAATAAATTGCAACAGAAAAATATATAAAAATCATTATTTTAATGCATATCAGTTGCTAAAGATTCAATCACCTTATACAAAAATAAAAAATCCAAAGAAATTTTCTCGAAAATGCACTCAAATATGACACTTTATTCAAACTATTTATTTAACTTTAAACTAACACTTACAATACACTCAGGTAATACCTTTTTTAGGTACAACTGTATTACCTGAGTGAATTGTAAGTGTATTCATTCAGGTAATACAGTTGTACATTTTTATATTTAAAAAAATTTTAATATAAAAATGTGATAATTATTAAATACCCAAATATAAAAAAGGTGATTTTTTTTCATTTATAGAGTGATGTAGTCAAAAACTTATTAAAATCATGTAGAACAACTTTTTACATCACCTTTTGTTTAGATGGAGTACTGATAATTTCAATAAAGCAACTGTTTCAAAACTTTAGCTTAAGTATCAAGATGAATAACTTTTCAAATAATGTTTTTGTTACATGGTTTGAGAATTAGAAACTAATACTTTCTTTTAGAAAGCATTTTGCCAAAAATATCTGCTTTCAAACCTTACAATCAGGTCATTATAATCCACCACATGAATGTTACATTAGTTAACCCAAAATCACTATACTGATGATGATGATGATGATGATGATGATGATGATGATGATGATGATGATGATGATGATGATGATGATGATGATGATGATGATGATGGTGGTGGTGGTGGTGGTGGTTAGGGGGGTGGTGGTGATGATAATTGTGATGATAAACAGAAAAAGTCTAGAATAAATTGAAAAAATAAAGCAATTTGAAAAGAATAAACAAACCATAATTTCAATTTCTTGTTGGCAAACTTTAAGGTCAGCTTTCTCATTAACAGACAATCGCTTTAGTGCAAACTTCTGACCATTTGAAGTTCTTACTACAAATACTAAAGCAAAACCTCCTAAAAGAAAAGTTTAAAACTTTTAAAATATTGCATAGTTTAATCAAATTCTAAAAAAAAAAGTCTAAAAAACATTAAAAAAAAAAACATAAAGTTTATTTGAATCAAACCCAATTAATATTATTATTATTTTTATTTTTTTTTTTTATTATACTTCACCTCCTCAAGGCCGAGAAGGCCACTACAGACAAGGAGGCTACTTATTTTGTGGCTATAACCCTCTCTCAACTCTATAACTCCGAAACACGAACCTTGACGAACAAGGCCGCTGCGCAGAGAAACGAGTTGAGCGCGGTACTACCAGGGACGTGGTGGGGATAGAACTCGGAACCACTCGTTTATGAAGCGAGCGCTCTACCACTACACCACTACCGCATATTATTTAATAAGATTATACCGTATTATTTAATAAGATTAGTTAATATAAATACTATAATATATTAGTTATACTATATATCTTTTGTCTGTATTTTTTTTTTTTTTTTAATGATAGTAATTTTAAATTGAAAAAACGATTATTGTGTTTTAACTAAAAGTATGTGTTTTAAAAGTATGTGTTTAAAAAAAAACTATATAAAAAAAACTTGTTAATTAATTTGTTAATAATAAACAATTAATTTATAAAATAATAAATATACAATATATTAATATATGAAAAAATAATAATAATAAAAACATTAAACAAGACAAGGGCTATTTCTCCTGACAAATGTAAAGCTTTTGATGAAGTTTGGCATGTCTTTACATGTCTTCTCCATAAGCTTGCTTTATATGGAGTATCTGATAAAGTTTTTGAAATTATCAAATCATTTCTTTCTAACCGTTTTTATAAATTTATTCTTGAAGGCCAACACTCTTCCTCATTTTTAGAACTTCTGGGTTATCTCAGAAATCTATGCTTGGCCCTTTTTTGTTTCTTATCTACATTAATGATCTTCTCTTTATTGAGTGCTCCATTATCTTACTCTTTTTGATAATTAATATTTACTTTGTTGTCTGTAGAGACTAAAACTAAAGTCTCAAGATATGCATCTCTGCAGATCTGGAGACTTTTGTTTTAGTCTTGAGAGGTCTTCAAACTCATATTTAAATGTCTTAGACTTGGTCTTGAAGCTTGCAATCTTGGTTCTGGACCATCAACATCTTGATCCTTACAAAAAATATCAACACAATGGATAGATTAGTAATTAATAAAAAAATTGTTAACCACCATAACTTTCTGCTTTCAAAAAGATTTGTACCTAGAAAGATACATATTTCTTGACACACACCAGTTGCTGTTTTTTTTTTTATGTTAACTCACTTCCACAAAGTCAAAGAAGCCACTACAGTCGAGGAGGTTACTTTAGTTATAGTTATAACCCTCTCTCAACTCTATAACTCTAAAGCACACCTTGACAAACAAGGTCACAGTGTGGAGAAACAAGTTGAGTGCAATACTACCAGGGACATAGTAGGGATCAAACTTAGAACTTCTTGCTTATGAGGCGACTGCTCTACCACTATACCACTGTCTTTGTTCGATTATCAAATTTTAAGTTGTAAAATCAAGTAATACATAGTTGTCTGTTTCACTTAATTTTTATTTACATTAAGTATACAAACATAATATGTAACTTTAAAAACTTTTATTTTAACTTAGCATGTCCTAAATATACCTTGTCTACTATATTTTTGTGCTATTTTTAGTTTCACAGTGCAATAGTCTTGTGCCATTTTTTATTAGAATTTTTTTTTTAACAATACAAGAAACTTGTTAGTTTTCTGTTAATAATGAAAAAGATCTTTTGTAGACTGCAACAGTACACTACACAATATACAATAAAATAACCATACAATAAATGTGGAATTTGGTTTTATAATAGAGTAATGTGCATAAATAGTAAAATAATATATCAGTTAAAGGTATACACACATGTGACACATTAGTATACACACATATGTATCATTATAGTGTTAGACTTCTAAAAACCAATTCTTGATCTTGGTCTTATGTTGACACTTTGATATCTTGGTCTTGATCTTGAAGTGTTAAGTTTTGGCCTAAATGTCTAAGCCTTAGTTTTGATCTTGACTTTAACTGTCTTGACTACATCTCTAAATCTAAGATAATTTTTATTTTTAGTACAAGTACTTCAAATATAAATAATACATTTCCTATAACATATAAAATACAAGCCCAAGATTCTTTAATTTCCTCTAATTATGTTGTTGGACCATGACATATATAATACATGTATATAAAATATTAGATGTGACATGTAAACTATGTGTAAAAATATGTACATATAATTAATTTGTTAGTAATAATAAAAAATTAATATATTTAGTCTAAAACTATATTTAGTTTAAAACTTTTTATTATAAATAAGGAAACTAATATTTTGAATAAAAAATTTAATTTTTTTCATATATCTTTATGTAAACATGGAAAAAATTGTATTGTTCAAAATATGATAACATTATTGATACTATTAAGATACCTTCAGCTTCAACATCTTCAACTGTGCAGGTATAACGACCTACTTGAAATTGTTTTCCAACCCAACCTGTTCTGTTGCCTTGAAAAAGTTTTTTCATCATCTTCAAGCTGTAAAAGTCATTTCTAATTTGATACTCTATTACTGTACTTTTGCTACTCTTTTACTGTAGATGTGTGTGCTTCTAGACATGAATTATACTTATTTTTTTATTTATCAATGCCATATGAATGTCAAGCTATCAAATCATTCAATTTATCAAAAAGATTGATCAAAATTAGAACTAATAAAAACAGGACCTTAATAATGTTAACAAGAAACCTAATTCAAACAGTACTGTAATTTTTAAAAATAATTAATTTATCTAACATATTAAAATATTAATGGTTGATTAACTCATACAATTAATCACTGGTTGTTTTGATATTTACATTTTGTTTTCACATTCCTTTTTTTATGTAAAAATTTAGTGTAACGTAAAATGTCATAACTTAATGTCATTATTATGTTATAATTTAATGTTTTAATTAATTTTCTGAGATTTCTATAAAAACAAATAAACTAGTTCAACATGTTATTTTGCGGTTAATTTGCAAATAACTAAAAAAATTTTTAATGAATTCCTATAAAACATCCACAAAAAGATAAACTTTTTATTCCACTAAAATTTTTAGCTTGATAACATACAATATTATTATAACATACAATATTATTATAACATACAATATTATAGGATGGTAGATAAATTGATATCGATAAGCGCCACCTACTTTTCTTAACAAATACAACGTTGTAATCAACAAACAAAAAAAACTTGTTTACCACTTTTTGTGGTATAAACCACCAATCGTTTTACCAAACTAATTACAAAACTTTAATTGAAATACTTTAAACTTATAAAAATGGATTTAAAAATATGTGTTAATGTAAAAAGGATAATGGTTTTGAGCTTTTTTAAAAAAATTTATTTTGTTTCTAAGCATTTTAATGGCTTTTTAAAAGGCTTGATTTAACACGGAGTTATAAAAAACGAACCATTTTACGCAAATATGCGGCTCTATCTAGTATCGGGTGCTTGAATTGATACCACAATCGAGTTAAAATTAAAAAAAGGTAACCTTGAAAATAAAAATAATTTGGTTTAGGAAACCGTTTAATCTAACTAAAAAAAAAAGTGTTTCTCTCACAATACAAAAAAAAAAAAAGTGTTTCTCTTATTTGAACAAAGGTAATTAAAATTTTGTTTAGGTAAGTACCTGTAAGTATAACCTGTAAGGTGCCATCAAAGGTTCGTTGTTTATGATATGTACCCAGCGGGCATTTAGTGTGGAAAAGACGTCTCTTAGGACGTTCCCACCGTTTCAAAGACGTTTTTACATAACTAGAAATCTGTTGGGTAGAAGTAGTAGATCTAACAAACGCAAAATATAGAATACGTGTAAATAATAGAGTTTGTTTTAACGGACTCCTACTTTTACTATGCAATGTTTATTGAAAGTTTTTCGGTTAAATATGACAGAGAAAATTAAAAACATCATCTTAGAAAAAAAAAATTCATTATTTTCAATGTGCATAAAATATAAACTTTATTTATATTTTAAAGGCAGGTTTAAAAAGTTCAAAAAAACGTAGGAAGAGTACTATCGCACGAAAAATTACTTTCTTTCACGCTTTTTTTTGAGGAGAAAGTCCGACATTGTACTTGGACATTCTTGTGCAAAGAAATATTACTGTTATAATTTGTTACTGATTTAGCCGTAATTTAGTAATAATTGAGTAGCCGAAAACTCAATTTATTTCACTTGTTTTTTTAAAAATTTGAGTTTATAAATTCTAACTAAAAACATTTTGAAAACAACGATACAATACGATGCTGTTTACACCAAGAAACAAATGCACTATAAAGCACATTTATTGTTTTATTGTGACGTGACAAACATTATGAGTAAGAAAATAATTTTAGCGGTTTATGCAAATGAATGCGCTTTTATCTTATTTAATTATTGCCTATTGTTAATCCACCTTGCGCTGAAGCTTAAATTGTTGAAAAGATATGACATCATGCTTTGCGGGATAGACCTTTGTCAATAAAGCAAACTTATGACTCGACTTACTGAGCGCGTAAACCAAAAAGTAATTATTAAGGCGAAAACTGTTTGTGTAAATCTTCAGTTACACGTTATTTTCAATTTTTGAACATTACTGCAAGGTTAAAACAACCGATCACTGCACGTTCACGACCAAAGTCTATTCTTTATATGTTTCTATTAGTAGAGTAACGCTATTTTGTTAAGTGCTATTTTCATATTTAGAAATGGTTCCTAGACTTTTTTTTTTTTAAAAATCAGTTACATGAAATTCTCGTGAGAGGCACATTCATTTTGTTCATGATTAAATGCATCAACGAATTCAGCAAACTGCAAGAGGTTATTTACAAAACATTTGTCAATGCCGTCGTTATAGACCCCAATGTAGTTTAATGCTGCAAGTGAAGTTATTGTATGAAGCCTAACTGTAACGATATAAGCTCGAACGCATTGAGTCGATATTTTAAAGCACTGATAAACTGATCAATGGACTGGTAAAGAATTTTCTATTCAAAATTTCTCTGATTTGCTCTGCATCGGTTTTATTTGTGTATGAGTTTGAGATCAAGAAAATCCATTCTTAAGTTACTCTGACGCCTTTTCACGCATTCTGTTGTTCGAGGTTTCTCGATGCCTTTTATTTATTATTCCTTCATGCCACTTTGTTTGAACAAATGGTTAAAAATGGTTTAAAAGAATTGACCCTGGCGTTGTTACAAAAAATTTGAGGTCAATGTCATGCTCGGCAAGAAACTCCACCAACCCCTCAAATATTTTCTGTGCTTTGTACTCTGGCTAGACGTCAACTTTACAAATTATTCAACTGGAAGTGCTTTCTTCATATATTGAAATAGATAAGTGAGGAATCTAGTAAAATTGAATAATATCTTAATTCTTTGATACGTGACCTTATTTCGAAAAACACATGTTTCTCCAGTATTTTAACAAATTATGCGCAGATTATCAAAGAGAGATAGCTGACATGCCCGCCTCTACTATTAGCATGCTTTTGTATGTATTTTAGAAAATTATTGTATTCTGGTATGATTTCCAGTGTGTCTAGATAAATACTAATATTTGATGATTTAATAGTGTTTTTTTTTTGATGATTCAACATTTTCTCCGCGAAGTGCAAGACCATGTTCACATTTGAATATAAGAACACGGATTACTCTTCATAGCGCCGCACTCCAGTTGTTTCCAGTTGTCTTGTAATATCACATAATAGTTCCATCTCAACATTCCATATCAACCCAGTTCCATAGCTCGACGTGCGAATCCAAATACTGCTTCGAGATAATCTTTCAAATTTTTGTGCTCAGTCAGACTAAACCTGCATGTTTTCGATAGAAAAACCATTTATCATTAGATTGAATGTGAGACGAACCTATCAGCTTGCGAGCAGATCATTATAAACAGGTGAGAAAAGTGATTGTTTCACAACATCACCATTTCCCTTTCGTCTAACATGTATACTCAATTTGCATTGAATATTTTGCATTGAATTTTATATTATCATAACTTCTTAAGGCTGAGAGATAATACTATGAAACTTATAATTTATTGACGAATATAAGTCTAGTTGAGAATAGTACAAATGATTTTTTATCAACTTGTTGCTCTCACGTTTGGGGTGTGGGATGAAACTTGAGGGGTTTTTTTTCCAGCCTCCAATCATCGCAATTATTTGCAAAGAATCATTATTTGATATAAGTATAAACAAACAAATGTTTTGAGTTTGCGACATATCTAAAAGTTAGCTATCTTAAACACCAAAAAAGCTGGATCCGTTACTGATCACCAGTATTTGACTCATGCGAAGATTTTGCAGCTTCTGGTTCTAAAAATGCGGTCATGAGAAGTTTCCAGTTTTTTATTCTATTTTTGATTTTCAACAACCTCAATCTCATGTCTCAACCTCAATCTCATGTCTATCTACAGTTTTTTTTGAAACTTGGTCTGACTACAGTGGCAAGGAGAATGGGAGTTGTCTCACTCTAAGAGTCATCACTTAATGGCCATAGATGTGTCCTGACCGAGTATACGTTCTTGAGAATTAACAGCTGAAACTAGAAGTTCCCGAACACCTTCAGATATTGTATAAAATTAATGGTTTGTGGTGTTTTGGACAGAGCGCGTCTACAGGAATATCAGAAAGTAGGCTAGGCCGACATTACCAAATATTAGTGCTGAGAAATTGAAATAAATTATATATATAATAAATAATTTTATTTAAGAAGATAAGCTATATAATAATAAATAAGTTTAATTAAGAAGATAAGCTCGCAACTGATTTTATGCAGTATTGTAAAAAAAAGTTAATTTAAAAAGCAAAATTATATTTGTTCAAAAGTGTCTAATTGTTTTTTCCTTTAAAATAAAAAATTTTATTTCAAATTTGTATTGTTTTTTAAATTTTGTAACGCTTTTTAAATCTTATTCGCCTTTTTATCACTTTGCCGACTAGAATGACTGATAACTCTGCTACAATTATTGGTAACATTTTCTCTAAGTTAATAACTAATTAAATTATTTCAAGAAACTTGACAATTTCTGTTTCTGAACACTTACCTTAAATCAATATTTGTCACAATTTCAATAAATTGTTTATACCACGCAAACACAAATTATATAGCAGGAGTTTTAAAAACTTCAGTAAAAAAAACTTGAAATCTGATTTATCAAAAATTGACTGGGATGGTGTTATAAAGTCTAACGATACTAACTCATGTTTCCAAAAGTTTATTACTGAAACATCATTAATTTTAGATCGCTATGCCCCACTTAAAAAAAATGTATCAAAAACTTAAAAAACACCGATTCAAATGGGTTACAAAAAAAATTATAAAATCTATTCAAGTGCTATTCAGTCTTTTCCAACAAAAAATTTTAAGATCTAAAGATCTTATTAATATAAACAAGTTTGAAAGTAATTTTAAGAGATATAAATATATGATAATTAGATAATAATAATTTTTTACTAAGTTCATATATTTGATAAATATATGAACTTAGTAAAAAAATTCATTAAAAAATATTTTTCTCAGAAAATGTTAAAGTTGTCGCAATTTTGGAAAGGCATTAATACACTAATAAATGTCAAAAAATTAATGAATCGTCCCCGAACTATATTCAAGAAAACTCGACTCAATCTTTGAATCATTTAATACTTTTTTTGACAAATGTTGCTCATAAACTCAAATCCATTATTCTTTCTAGTGACGGATCCAGGAATTTTTGGTGGGGGAGTGGGCATTGAAATAATTTTTTTATTTTGTATCAGATTTGCATTTCCTAAAAAAAAAAAGGTCCTCCATTTATAAGATATTTTAGGACTTTCAGATTCTGGTAGGGGGCGTGGGTACATATCTCCTTTTCCATACCCTAGCCCCCCCACCCTCCCACTCCCACCTGGATCCGTCACTGATTCATTCGTCTTACGTTAACTATCAAAAGTATCTTAAATATCTAAATTTACATAGTTCAATCATTATCTCCAACAAATATCTAAACTGAATCCAAAAAATTCATTAGGTCCGAACAGCATTCCCACAAACATTCTTATGGATTTTAACTGTTCTTGGTCTTCTTTAGTTTTTTATTTAGGTTAACGAACTAATCAACTCTGTTTACTTCTCGTCAGTTCGTCTGTTTGCTGATGATAAAAATCCTTCCACATCAACAAAACGTATCATTCTTTATGTAAAAATTTAAGTTCGGATAAGGTGTAGTTCAATGGTTAAATGCTAACCTAATATGTCTTAACACCAAAAAACTGAACTATTTTTTTTTTTTTTTAACTTTTTAAATCTCTTTAAAATATTGAAATCAAAATCAAAATTAATAATAAACGGCTACATCCTGCGAGAGTTATTGAATATCTTGGTGTGTTAATTGACTGCAACCTTCATAAAACATTCACATTGATGAACTAAGCAAGAAACTCGAGAAAACAGTATGCTTTCAATAATTTGTCATTATTTCGATAAAGTCACACTTAAGAATATTTACTATTCATTATTTTCATCTCAACTTAGGTATTGTTGTCAAGTTTGGGGTCAAGTTGGAAACTATCGCCACAGCGTCAGTTAATTAGATTAATAAACTTCTAACCAATTAAATCAGATACATTGAAGTCCTTCAAAAAACATTCCAACATTTTCAGCGCTAGTAAAGTATGCTTGCTAATCTTCTTTTTGTTTTTGACTCTTTTAATAAAAATCTACCATCTTCCATTATAAACTTGTTCACGGAAAGTAGACTTCTACATTCCTATTCTATTAGAAATATTTACATATATGACTTGTTTAGTTGTATGTATTTCATGTCTACAAATTAGACAAG